AAATCTTTCAAACTACTTTAAAAAGAAAACATCTGGGATCCCAGAGGTTCTTCCAAATTATTTCGAAAGCAAGATAATGGACCCCCGAGATTTTTTGAAAGTATTTCAAAAACCAGACATAAGGGGTTCCCGACATTCTTTCAAATTATTTTAAAAAGAGAACACAAGAGGTCCTCGAGGTTCTTTCAAAATACTTCAAAAACCAGACAAGGAAACCCCGAAATTCTTTCAAACTACTTCAAGACCCAAAGGGATTTTCCAAGATTCTAATAAAGTGCTTCAAAGACAATACACAGAAAGGTTACCGAGAATCTTTCCAATTATTACTTCAAAGACAAGACATCACGAATCACCGGACTTCGAAATTTCTTCAAACTGCTTTAAAAACAAAACAAGATGTTCCCGAGACTCTAGTAAGTTACTTCAATAAACAAATCACAAGGAATCCCCAAGATTCTTTCAAATTACTTCAAAGGCAAGATATATAGGATCACGGGACTTCGAAATTCTTCTTTTAAACTACTTTTAAAACGGGTCCCTTTGATTCTTTCAAATTACTTCAAAAACAAGACGGCGATCCCGAGATTCTTCCAAACTACTTCAAAAACAAAATCCAAAGGGTCCCCGAAATTCTTTCAAACTACTTCAAAAACCAGACAAATTGTTCCCGAGATCCCTTCAAACTACTTCAAAAACATAACATATGTGGTCCACGAGATTCTTTCAAACTACTTCAAAAACAAAATACAAAGGTACCCCAAGATTCTTTCACATTACTGCAGAAACACAAGCGATCTCCGAGGTTCTTTCAAACTACTTCAAAAACAAAACACAAAGCCTCCTTAACATTTTTTAAATTACTTCAATTACTTCATTACAAAAACATGACCCAAGACTTTAATAACATACTCCAAAGGCGTACACAGAAAGATTGCCGAAATTTTTTCAAACTACTTCAAAAACAAAACAAGATGTTCCCGAGATTCTAATAAATTGTTTGAAAAATAATACACCGAAAAATTATCGAGATTCTTACTACTTCAAAAAGAAAATATCTGGGATGCAAATTACTTCAAAAGCAGGATAATGGACCCCCGAGATTCTTTTTCAAAAACCAGGCATAAGGGGTCCCCGACATTCTTTCAAGTTACTTCAAAAACAAAACACAAAGGGTCTCTGCAATTCTTGCCAACTACTTCAAAAACCAGACAAGGAATTCCCGAAATTCTTTCAACTACTTCAAAGGGACCCCGAGATTCTTTTAATCCACTTCAAAAACAGAACAATAGTGGTCCACGAGATTCAAATACATTGCTTGAAAAACAAGACAAAAGATCACCGAGTTTTTTGCAAACTACTTCAAAAACAACACAAGAGGGCTTCCTATGATTCTTTCAAATTACGGATTAAATCATTATAAAGGTTTTTAAATTTTTTTAGTAAGAGCCCACAGGAATACTGTTTTTACAACAAAACTTGATTAAAAACGTTGTACTTTATTTATTATTCCGTTTGTTTCTTTTCAGTTAAGCGAATATGAGTGTTCGCTGTTATTTCTTTTTAAAACACAAAGTAAGAAAATGAGTTCATTATTATGTATTGAAAAGGGAATAAATTAATTTTAAATATCTGCAATGTGCTTCAACTTATAATCCAGTCACGAGAGCAATTAAACATACATTTACTGAACTACGAACAATTCTTAAGCCTTTCGGGAGCTTTTCCCATAATAAATAAGTACCCTGGATTGTGGTTAGTTTGGGCTCAGGTTGGTGTCGGTGGACGGAGTTTGAGAGGGGCGGACCTTAGGACGGTCCAGGCTTAAAGAGGCGGAGCTTAACTCGACACATTGGCGGAGTTTGAAGTCTAACCTGGAGCGCATTCACTTCTCATGTTCTTTTAATTTTATTTTATGGTCTTTATGAGTTATTTTTTGTAAAGAACAGAATTTTAGAAACGCAAATTTTCAGGAGCTGTGTTCTGCAATTGCGGATATGTTATATTATGCCTTTTTTTCTTAATGTACGTAGTCATCTGTTTTAAATTTTTGTTGTGAAAAGATGACTACGTATATTAAGAAAAAATGTACAAAATATAAGCCCCGCCCACCCACCCTACCGCAATTGTGATGATTTTTTTTATTCGTCGTGAGCCAAGTAACACACGTTTTTGAGCTTCCTGTTATTCAAAAAATACTATGTATATTAAAATTAAAGCCAAATTGAGATCGAGACGGATGGGTGGGGCTTTTCTTTTGGCTTTCTTTTTACTTAATACATCTAGTTTGCTTTAAATAACACGATTACTCAAGAATATGTTTCACATAGCTATTTCTCGTAGAAAAACAAGGATTTTGCAAATAAGCTCCACCCCACCACTTACGACGGGCAAAAAGAATCATTACGATTAATATAGGGTGGGAGGGCGGGGTTTATATTATGCTCTTTTTTCTTAATATACGTAGTCATCTGTTTTAAATTTTTGTTGTGAAAGGATGACTACGTATATTAAGAAAAAATCTACAAAATATAAGCCCCGCCCACCCATCCTACCGCAATTGTGATGATTTTTTTTTATTCGTCGTGAGCCAAGTAACACATGTTTTTGACCTTCGTGTTATTCAAAAAATACTATGTATATTAAAATTAAAGCCAAATTGAGATCGAGACGGATGGGTGGGGTTTATCTTTTGGCTTTCTTTTTACTTAATACATCTAGTTTGCTTTAAATAACACGATTATTCAAGAATATGTTTCACATAGCAATTTCTCATAGAAGAACAAGGATTTTGCAATTAAGCTCCGCCCCACCACTTACGACGGGCAAAAAGAATCATTACGATTAAGATACAGTGGGTGGGCGGGGTTTATATTATGCTCTTTTTTCTTAATATACGTAGCCATCTGTTTTAAATTTTTGTTGTGAAAAGATGACTACGTATATTAAGAAAAAATGTACAAAATATAAGCCCCGCCCACCCACCCTACCGCAATTGTGATGATTTTTTTTATTCGTCGTGAGCCAAGTAACACATGTTTTTGAGCTTCGTGTTATTGAAAATATACTATGTGTATTAAAATTAAAGCCAAATTGAGATCGAGAGGGATAGGTGGGGCCTATGTTTCGGCTTTCTTTTTACTTAATACATCTAGTTTGCTTTAAGTAACACGATTACTCAAGAATATGTTTCATATAGCAATTTCTCTTAGAAAAAAAAAGAATTTTGCAATTAACTTCCGCCCCACCACTTACGACGGGCAAAAAGAATCATTACGATTAAGATAGGGTGGGTGGGCGGGGCTTATATTATGCTCTTTTTTCTTAATATACGTAGTCATCTGTTTTAAATTTTTGTTGTGAAAAGATGATTACGTATATTAAGAAAAAATGTACAAAATATAAGCCCCGCCCACCTACCCTACCGCAATTGTGATGATTTTGTTTTATTCGTCGTGAGCCAAGTAACACATGTTTTTGACCTTCGTGTTATTCAAAAAATACTATGTATATTAAAATTAAAGCCAAATTGAGATCGAGACGGATGGGTGGGGCTTTTCTTTTGGCTTTCTTTTTACTTAATACATCTAGTTTGCTTTAAATAACACGATTACTCAAGAATATGTTTCACATAGCTATTTCTCATAGAAAAACAAGGATTTTGCAAATAAGCTCCACCCCACCACTTACGACGGGCAAAAAGAATCATTACGATTAATATAGGGTGGGAGGGCGGGGTTTATATTATGCTCTTTTTTCTTAATATACGTAGTCATCTGTTTTAAATTTTTGTTGTGAAAAGATGATTACGTATATTAAGAAAAAATTTACAAAATATAAGCCCCGCCCACCCACCCTACCGCAATTGTGATAATTTTGTTTTATTCGCCGTGAGCCAAGTAACATATGTTTTTGACCTTCGTGTTATTCAAAAAATACTATGTGTATTAAAATTAAAGCCAAATTGAGACCGAGACGGATGGGTGGGGCTTATCTTTTGGCTTTCTTTTTACTTAATACATCTAGTTTGCTTTAAATAACACGATTACTCAAGAATATGTTTCACATAGCAATTTCTCATAGAAAAACAAGGATTTTGCAAATAAGCTCCGCCCCACCACTTACGACGGGCAAAAAGAATCATTACGATTAAGATAAGGTGGGTGGGCGGGGTTTATATTATGCTCTATTTTCTTAATATACGTAGCCATCTGTTTCAAATTTTTGTTGTGAAAAGATGACTGCGTATATTAAGAAAAAAAAAAAGGTAAAATTTAAAACCATACAAGGAATCCCCGAAATTCTTTCAAACTATGTATATACTCATTGCACTTCTGCTCTATGAATCCGCCTTGTTCTATATTACCATTTTTATTGTTGTTGGTGGAGAACTGCGACTGACTCCGCTCCAGACCAAATATAAACAACAGAGTATGTTCTCGTAGCATAATACGTTCGAATCAAAGGCAGTGGCGGAATATGTACATATTTAATACCATAGGACCAATTTTTTTTACTCGAGTTCACTGCCAGACTATTATTCTTGGTTGATATCACATTGAATACACTGCCTATATCTGGAGTGTTTCCGTTTCTGAAACGTTCCGGCGTTAGTTCTCTCTCTAGAGTTCCAACATTTCCAGAACGTTCCAGCGGGGGTCTCTAACAATATGATTTCAAATGGAGTTGAAGGCTTTCACGGCCAGAGTTAATGACAGACAGACTTTTTTTGGATTTGAATCGTGTCATTGTGCTTGTCGTTTATTTCCTGAAAATGCTCCTTACAAAGTGTCGAAACCCTTTTCAAAATAGGCGTGGTCCAGACCCTTAAACGGTCTGGCAGTATTAAAAAATGTGTTTTCTAACACTAGAACATTCTCGAAAAAGTATGAGCCTCGGTTCTCGCCTCGTAGTACATTGATTTCTCAATTATAAATATCTGAACTAAAAATCGCCTCTGGCTAAAACAACGCCCAACTAATCTCGTTTCAATTATTTTCCAGGTACGAGAGACTCTTGAGACGTGCCAAAACCGAGGACCTCACCGAAGTATCGGGCATCGGATGTCTTTACCAGAGCGGCGTCGACCGGCTCGGCAGGCCTGTGGTCGTTTTTATCGGAAAATGGTTCCCTTTCAACAAAATCAATTTAGATAAGGTAACCTGAATTTTTGCGTCCCCTTTTGTTTTAAGAAATTAACTCGCCGCGTGTGTATACACATCAAACAACCCTGCATTTGATCGAATTACGCTGCTAATGTACCCGAACTATAGTTCGCAATTCCATTAGACCAGCCTAATGGCAACTTTGTAACTACCTGATTCGATTCATTTGTTTCTGGTTAACTTCGTCTAAAACAGCAAACAGTTTAGGGCACGTGCATTGATTCGTTCGCAGCAACAGGTCGTATCTTATTATTGTGTCCGCTGTTCTGGATCTGGGTGTCTTTTGTCGCTGGAATAATGTGGAATTGAACAATAGGGGGTTGATAATAGTTAAAGAGTAGTGCATAATACGTACGTCACGTGATGGAAATGAGTTTCGCGTCCCCGATATCGAATTATTCCAACTTCGTGTTAATTATTTTGTGTCGTTATGTTGGCAGGCTTTGTTGTATTTAATAACGTTGCTGGATCCGATCGTGAAGGGTGACTACGTTATCGCCTACTTCCATACGCTTACCTCCAGCAGCAACTATCCGTCGTTTTCGTGGCTGAGGGAAGTCTACAATGTGCTGCCTTACAAGTATAAGAAGAATCTTAAAGCTTTCTATGTCGTTCATCCCACGTTCTGGACGAAGGTAGTAAATTGTGACTTGTGTTTTAAGATAAGTTTAATTTGGTTGTCTTGAAGATGATGACTTGGTGGTTTACCACGTTCATGGCACCGGCCATTAAACAGAAGGTGCATAGTCTGCCAGGGGTGGAGTATCTGTATGCAGTTATGTCTCCTGATCAGTTAGAGATACCGGCGTTTATAACTGAACACGATATGACTGTAAGTATCTAAGGTATTACGGAATACATTAGCGTAAGTAGTGTCGTTAACGGTAGTAAAAATAACTACGGTTATTACTAACAACTGTTTTTCTAATAATGTAATCCGAGTACTTGCAACTAGATCAATACTTGATCTCATTTAGGTAGCGTTTATGGACAAAATTTGCAAAGTTGCGCTGTATAGAAACTACTTAGGATAAATTCACTATAATTATAGTACGTTATTCAAGAGGCGTGTAATGCAGCTGATGCGAATGAAGTTTGCCATACTAGTCGAACGAATAACCACGATTGTACGCCACTAGAATACTAATATTTTTTTACTAGTAACAACAACGATGTTTTGATTGTTTAAAGATGGGAAGAGATAGCCTTAAAGTGGTTTTCAGTTAATATTTTTGTCAACACCAACCACAGAAATTAAGGTGATTCATTGTAATAAATTTTTGTGCAACCGAGCAGTAGAATTACTCTAACTTGACAAAAAAATGAAGATCCGGTGAACAAGTATATACAGGGTGAGTTAACAAAAAGATAGTTAAAGACCAAAGTTGAACGCCTTTTTTTAAACATTTTTAACACAAATACATGCTAATGTATAAAAAGAAATGTAATAACAAAAATTGGAAAAAGAATATTTAGAAATTTAACATTTTTGATTTTTTAATAAACATATTGAAAACGTGTTGAGCCAAATAACCGCACTTAGGGCACGTAAAAATAGAACACTCTGTATAGTTGAAAATAATTGTAACTTATGTTTGTTAGAGCTACTGCGGACGGCTAGTTTTCAGTTTTCTGAATGTTTCATAACCCTTAGAGCATTAAAAAATAGGTCCCCCGTTTCTAATTTTTTCATTTACAATTTTTCGATTTTACAGTTAGCTCCATTCGGCGATTTCTAGATCGTTTTGGTCTCCCAGATTTTTGATTTGCAATTTTTCGATATTTTAATTTTGCATTTCCTTAATTTTTCAATTTGTAGATATTTTAATTTTTCCTTATTTCATTTAATCGAGATTTCAATTTTTAATTTAGATTTTAAGTTATGCAAGTTCTCAATTGTTACACGTTTTATTTTTCCAGATTCTAATTTTTGATTTAAATAATTCAAAACGAACAATTTACTAAAACTGAAATTTTCACGATTTTATAGTTTTTGGATTTTTCAGTTTTTCTTAATTAATTGATTTTTAATTGGTTTCACCGCGTTTATTTATATTGTGTTGACTGAGCATTTATTTAATAGTATCCATTTTTTGAGTTTTCTGATTTTGCAATTTTTTGATTTTATAGTTACGTCGATTTTTAACTTTTTCGATTTAGAATAATTCAATTTTACAATTTTTCGCATTCAAGTTTTCTGGTTTATTCTAAGTGAAATTTTGAAAAATTGTAAAGCATGATTTTTTTTTTTCATGTTCTTGTATTGTAGATGTTTTTTTTTTTCGAAAAATGGGAACATCCAACATAAAAAATCAAAAAGTTGGAAATCTGACAATTGAAAAGACGAAAAAATAAGATATCGAAAAATTGAGAAATCTAAAAATAATAGAAGAAAGAACCAATCTCAAAAGTGAAGCAACGAAATAGAAATATTGAAAAATCGAAAAATTCAAAAGTGCAAAATCGAAAAATTCGTTTCCGAAATTTTTTTATTTTTAACCGAAAAATTCAATAGAAAAATGGTGGAATCTAGAAATTTCAACTCTCAAAAAATCCTAAAAAAATCGAGAAATCAAACTGGAAACTCAAAAAATTGCAAATGAAAATATTCGAGAAAGAGAAAATTAAAAATCGAAATCGGAAAATTTGAAACACTGAAAAAACGAAACAATAAATTTCATCAAATCACGTAGTTGTGGTTAATGGATTCGCCTTTATTTTTAACTTAGCCTCCCAGTTTTTTTTAATAACATTCCGCGCTTTATATAAATTTTAAATGTCTTTTTTAGCCCCTTTTATGCCTTTTATTAGATCGTCTTTTTTGTAGCTTTTTTGACTCACCCCTTTTTTTCCTTTTTTTCGCAAAATTTAATTTTACAATTGTCTCCAAAACTGGATTTGTTTCATTGTAATTCAGGGGCGAGGGAAGTTCTGCCGAAATAACTTTAGACCATTTTTTTGTACGTATCTCTCAATAATTAATAAAATGTCTTTAGTTAAATTTGGAAAATTTGTTCAAAATTGGCCGAAAAATTTTGCTGTAAAAAAAATTTCAGAAAAATTACCAAAAAATTAAGGGATGCAGATTTCGACGTGCTGATTCCAAAAATATAGCGTTTTTAAGGTCCCGGGACAACATTTTTGAAATATTCGGTTTGAAAATACAATTTTTTCAAAAATCCTAAAAACTGCCATATTTCATTTGGCAATTATGGAAAAGTGGTCGTTATCGAAAAAATGGGACCGAAAATATCTTCTGGAGATCGAAATCTGCAAGAAAATGACTTTGGTTGAATTTCGAAAATGGGTCCAAATTTTTATAAATAATTGAGAAATTTTGTTTTTGAAAAAATTTGACGAAAAATTCACAAAAAAAATAGATTTCGATGTACTCATTCTACAAATATAGAGGGTTTAAGGTTCCGGGACAACTTATTTGAAATATTCGATTTGAAACCAATTTTTTTGAAAAATCCTAAAAATTTCCTTTTTTCATTTGGCGATTCTTGAAAAATGGTAGAAATGATCGAAAAAATGGGGCCAAAAGTATTTTTGGAGGTCGAAATCTACAAAAAAATGTTTTTGGTTGAATTTCGAAGATGGTCGAAAATAGGTGCAAATTTTCATAAGGTTTTGAAAAATTTTGTTCTTGAAAAAATTGTCGAAAAATTCCCAAAAAATTCAGGGATGTAGATTTCGATGTGCTGATTTTATTAAAAGTATAGAGTGTCTAAGGTCCCGGGACAACATAATTGAAATATTTGGTCTGAAAACAATTTTTTTTGACAAATCTCAAAAATTGCCATTTGTCATTTGGCGATTCTGAAAAAAATGGTAGGAGTTACCGAAAAAATGGGGCCGAAAGTATCTTTTGGAGGTCGAAATCTACAAGAAAATGTCTTTGGTTGAATTTCGAAAATGGGTCCAAATTTGTATAAGTAATTGAGAAATTTAGTTTTTGAAAAAATTTGCCGAAGAAATCCCAAAAAAATCAGGGATATAGATTTCGATGTGCTCATTCCACAAATATGGAGGGTTTAAGGTTCCGGGACAACTTATTTGAAATATTCGATTTGAAAACCAATTTTTTTGAAAAATCCTAAAAATTTCCATTTTTCATTTGGCGATTCTGGAAAAATGGTACAAATTATCGAAAAAATGGGGCCGAAAGTATCTCTTGGAGGTCGAAATCTTCAAGAAAATGTCTTTGGTTGAATTTCGAAAATGGGTCCAAATTTTTACAAGTAATTGAGAAATTTTGTTTTTGAAAAAATTGTCGAAAAATTCCCAAAAAATTCAGGGATGTAGATTTCGATGTGCTGATTTTAAAAATAGAGAGTGTTTAAGGTCCCGGGACAACATAATTGAAATATTCGGTTTGAAAACCAATTTTTTTGAAAAATCTTAAAAATTGCCATTTTTCATTTGGCGATTTTCCGGCAAAATGGAATTACCGAAAAAATAGCGCTGAAAACGTCTTCTGGAGGTCGAAATCTACAAGAAAATGTGTTTAATTGAGTTTCGAAAAGGGCCGAAATATTGATATTGAGAAATTTTTCTTTTGAAAAAATTGCCCAAAAATTACGAAAAAATTCAGGGTTATAAATTTTAGGTTGCTGATTCTTAAAATATAGCATGTTTAAGGTCCTGAGGCAACATTTTTGAAATATTCAGTTTGAAAACCCATTTTTTTAAGAATCCTAAAAATTGCCATATTTTAATTGTCGGTTCTGGAAAAATGGTAGGAGTTATCGAAAAAATAAGATTGAAAGTATCTTCTGGAGGTCGAAATCTACACCAAAACGTCTTTGGTTGACTTTCGAAAATGGTTGAAAATGGGACCAAATTTTCATAATTCAGAAAGTTTGTATTTTGAAAAAATTGCCGAAAAATTCTCAAAAAATTCAGGAATGTTGATTTCAACGTGCTGATTTCAAAAATATAGTGTAAAACCCATTTTTTTTAAACCTTAAAAATTGCCCTATTTCGTTCGGCGATCCTGGAAAAATGGTAGGAGTTATCGAAAAAATGGGGACGAAAGTATCTTGTGGAGCTCGAAATCTATAAAAAATGTCTGTGGTTGAATTTCGAAAATTGTCGAAAATGGGCCGAAATTTTCATTTTGAGGAATTTTGCTTTTGAAAAAATTTCCCAAAAATTCCAACAAAATTCAGGGTTATAGATTTTAAGAGGCTGATTCCAAAAATGTAGCGTGTTTAAGGTCCTGAGGCAACATTTTTGAAAAATTCGGTTTGAAAGCCCATTTTTTGGAATAATCCTAAATTTGCCATATTTTATTTGGAGATTCTGGAAAAATGGTGGAAGCTATCGAAAGATGAAGCCGAAAGTATCTTCTGGAGATCGAAATCTACAAGAAATTTCGAAAATGGTCGACAATAGAGCGAAATTTTTGTATTGACTAATTTTGATTTTGAAAAATTGCCGAAAGATCCCCCAAACAATCAGAGACAGATTTTTAAAATAAAAAAAAATGCAATATTTCAGTAGGTGATTTTGGAAAAATGGTAAGAAAACCCACTTGTGGGGGTAGAAATCTATAAGAAAGTGTCTTTAATTAAATTTCGAAAATTGACGAAAATTGGCCGGGATTTCCATAGGGTGACTGAAAAATTTGCTTTTGAAAAAGTTCTCAAAAAATCCCGAAAAAATTCGGAGATATAGATTTCGTCGTATTGACTTCAAAAACAGCGTATTTATGCTTCCGGTGAAGATTTAACAATATTCCGTTTGAAAGTAAGTTTTTTTTAATCCAAAAATTGCAATATTTTGAAAAAATTGTTGAGCTATAACAAAATATCTTTGGTTAAATTCCGAAAATTGTCAAAAATTTACCGAAATCTTCATCTTGGAAAATTTTGATTTTGAAAAAGTTGCAAAAAAATTGTGAGATTGATTTCAAAAACTGGTGTTTATGCTCCAGGTGCAAGTTTTAAAAATATATATTTTTTTAGTCCAAAAAATTGCAATATCTGGAAAAAATAGTAGGAAGTATCGAAAAATTGAGTCTGAAACTGACTTGGAGGTCGACACCTATAACAAATGTATTGAGTTAAGTAACATCCTGACTTAAAATTAGCGCATGCGTTGACGAAAATCAATAATGTGTCGAGTAGTTTGTTCCAAATAAAGTGTTTTTACAGTATTGATTAACCCATACGAGAAAATGGAAAATTAAAAAACTGATATTTGTTTTTACCCAGAAACAATGGACATTTAAAAATTTCATGCACCATTACTTTCCGATCGACTCTGTTATGGCAAATTTAATTATGGTAATAAAATGAAATTTTCAGTTTTAACTAGCATAATCAATTCAAAATTTATACATTCCGATATTTAGCTTTCCAAGTTTGTTTTCCAGACAACGGTTGCATTATTAATGAAAATGTTATCCTGTTACCGCCTCCGCATTGTCGCCCCCACGTGTGTTATCGTTATATCTGCATAATTCTACCATTTTTCTCAAAAAAAAAAAACGGCGAAAAGTGAATCTTTTAATGTCGCAAATCAATTAATCGTTATGAAATGGTTGAATTTTGAATTACTTTGAGTGCCACGTGGGCATAGCGTAATAAAACACTGAAGTACATATGTAATAAAAGGAAATCGTAAAACTTGTGGTTACAAAAGCAAACAGTTAAGTCTTTTTTGTTCGTTTTTTCATTATCGTGTGTCACGGCTGCATTAATGGCGCAGCTGGTTGGATTCGAAAAATCCGTACTATGTAATGGTAAACATTTAGACCTTCAACTGTCTCAAAGTTGTGAAAATTGCAAGCTAACACTCTGATTTCCCCATAACCTCAAAAAATAATTGTCAATTTTGTTTTAGATCAATGGCCTGAGGTACTTTCAGCCAGGAGCGCCGACATAATCTGCCCTATACATGTTAGTGTTCAGTGCCGAACTTAGTATTCATCCCCCAAGTGATAAGTTTTGCAATATTTGACTAGTGCTAAGTTGTGCTGTGCCAACAGATATGTTAGAACAGTCGCTGTTTGCAGCCGCCATCGTTTCATTTCCAACTTCGCCTTTAATGAATTATTAACACAGGGACTAACCACTGGAGAATTAAACGGCATAATTATAATGCTTTTTATAAATCGATCGTTTAATGGACGACGACGTTGACCTGTAGTTTATTTAGCGAGCGTCTTTTTTTCCTTGGACGTGTTTTATTAACCTGTACTTAGTCTTAAGTTGACATTCCACAGAAGCGTTTGAGATTATCGAGGAGATTGTTCTGTTGGGTGGAAACCTCTGCCATTGTAGCATTCCAGGCAGCTTTGTATCGCACAAATTTAATTTTAACCGTTTAATACAAGACTGTGGGATTTATTAACAATAAGGTCCAAAGGTGCCAAAAAAGCGGACTGTGTCAGTGGTAGATGGCCTTTCCATATTGTTAAATTTTATGTCATTGTTAATGTCACTGCATATCCTATAAGCCAGTTTTGTTATTTATCGAGTTTATAAACCTGTTTGTTTTTTAGGAAAGTGGAGTTTAGATAGATTATTATTAATACGTAATTTTCTATGCTGTTTATAGTAGTTCTGTACTTTTTATTATTATTATTGTAGAGCAGCAAAATTGGTAGAGTGCTCGAAGAGGGTCACCAGTCGGGACCACGAACCACCACGGCGAATATAATATAAATGAGGGTAACGCGAATTGTGATAGCGCACTCTATTGATGAGCCACCAACACTACTATTGACTGATGTTTACACAACTGATATTTAACAGCAATTACACAGACCTTCATTTCCCGTTGTATGTATATCATTACTACATCCGCAAGACTGTGAATGCGGATTATTAAAGGTGCGATTAAATATCAGTTCAGATTAAGTTTGAAGTAGTTCTAGCGCCTAATTTGCATTTTATCTACCCTGAGCGACTGCTTCAGTTCGTTTCGGTCATTCTTCAAAATTTACAAACATCTGTCAATGTTCAACTATGCATTTGTACCTCTATAATGTCTATCATGCTCTTTAATCGACTCTACAACAATTTTCAATACTTAACCAAGAATCCTAATTGTTGCTTCAGAGTATAAGAATCACTATGTTTCTGACGATCCTGTTAATCACGTTTACACTAAATTTTTAACATTCTTTTATTGATCAACAAATGAACATCAAGAGAGCAATATAAATATATGAGTCTAAATTTATTATAGTGTTGTAGTTGCATATTATAATGATGTTATTAATTATAAATATTTTACATGGAAAATACAAGCTGCGAGTTGTTGAGTATTAATTTTATAAATGACAACAATATGGAATAAATATTGTACACCTCATCAGTTTTTTTGTGTAGCAACATTAAGTCGTGTTCCCAAGGCGGGGGGGTGGGGAGGTAGGCGTAGGTAGGAAGGTGAAAGACCAGTCTCCGCTTTAGTAAAATTTCTTTTATTAACTCAAATAAGTTAGGTCACAACTTGTTTCAAATAACAATAACAGATTTCTGTTATATACTACACATATATCATCTTGTGTATATACAATTTAACTTATTGGCAGGGAAACCTTTATATTAAATATACATCATACACTACAAAAAACATTGATAAAACTACCTAAAATTCAAATAACAATTGGCTAATTATATTATAAACGATTTGAAGATTTGACTATTATGTTTATTCATCATATTATTTAAGTAACATAAGTGCGATAATCGGTTGCATTTTAATATTGAAATAAGGGCTCGGAGGTTATCCACATCTATACAAGCTTTTGCGGGTGTTCGAGTGATTTTCCACCGCCGCACCATACACTAAGATTACTTTTTAAAATTCATATGCTACTTGTCATTATCAACAATTGGGCAATAATAAAAGTAGTGATTAATGAATGAGCTGGTCTTGTAAGCACGCTATTAGGAGGCACCGCACATAACAACAGAATGTGTCCTAGTCAACTGTTCAGTGCAGCCGAGAGCGCGATGGCAGCGTCCACACTGGAGGGGCCGATTGTCACAGTTTTTCCTTCGTTGGCACCCAGATAGTTGGACCCGACTGCTCCTTGATCACCTCCTTGACCTGCTCGTAGATGTCCTCGGGGGTGTCGCCTTGCACCACAGCTAAAAATTGGTGTTAATACATCGCACGAACAGTCTGATCCCGTTGATATATTTTACCTGTGAAGTACTCTCCAAACTCCTGTTCCATCTTCAGAGCTCGTTCGAACGTCTTCTTGGCTTGCTCTTCTGTCATTCGCTTATTCATTTCGCTGTAGGAAGTATACATATATAGTGTCTTCATTTTTTTTTTTTTTTGTTGTATTAGTAACTTACATTATGGATTCGACTGATTTCGGCTTAATAAATACAGCGATGGGGAACAGTTGAGCTACTTGGAGTCTCTTGATTGCGTTCCCGCTTACGTCTAGGATACAGTGTTTACCCTAAAAATTACGTTACAAAGAGCTTTGCTATGGTTTGCCAAAATTTACCTTATCGGCTACTTCGCGCACTGAAGCCACGGATGTTCCGTACAAGTTATCGTTATATTGCCCGGCTTCAATAAATAAGTGATTTTGTATATCCTTTTCCATCTGTTCCCTAGAGCTCACGAAGTGGTAATCTCTTCCGTCAACTTCGTACTCTCGTTTTGGCCTTGTTGTATCTGGAAATTTGATCATAAGTCAAAAAAGATATGGGATTTTTTGCGCGAATTGGTCGTTTGGTACTGAGTTCATTGAGATTTATTTTAGTTTTTCTCATTCCATAAAGGGGACCATAAATAAAATTATTTTAAGTATAGTATCAAGGGTGAGGTGTTTTAAGTACTCTTTGTATCTAAAATCATGATACAGTGAAGATTACACCTACTACTATCGAACAAGAGCGGAATTACTGTCTCACTAGCGAGATTCTTTCGAATTACTTTAAAAAAGGGTCCCAAAGATTCTTTCAAACTACTTCAAAAACAAGATAAGGGATCCTCGAGATTCTGTCAAACTACTTAAAAAAAAAAAGAAAAAACATAAGGGGTATCCGCGATTCTAACCGATTCTCCAAAAACAAAACACAGAAAGGTCCCTGAGAATCTCTCAAACTATTTCAAAAAACCAGACACGAGGTCCACGAAATTCTTTCAAATTACTTGAAAAACAAGATAAGGGACCTCCAAGATTCTCTCAAACTTCTTCAAAAGCCACACACAAGAGGTCCTTGAGATTCTTTCAAATTACTTCAAAAACAGAACACATAAGGTTCCCGAGATTCTTTCATACTACTTCAAAAAACCACACACAAGAGGTCCCTGAGATTCTTTCATACTACTTCAAAAAACCACACACAAGAGGTCCCTGAGATTCTTTCAAATTACTTCAAAAACAAGACAAGGGATCCCCGAGAATCTTTCAACCTACTTCAAAAACAAAACATATTGGGGTCCCCGAGACTCTTTCAAATTACTTCGAAAAGAAGAGGAGGGACCCCCGAAATTCTGTCAAATTGCTTCAAAAACAAAACACATCAGGTCCCCGAGATAAGAATCTCGGTGTGGTTTTAAAGATCAAACTACTTTAAAAACCACACACAAGAGGCCTCCGAGATTCTTTAAAATTATTTCAAAAACAAAACACATGAGATCCCCGAGAATTTTTTAATTTACTTCAAAAAGAAGACAAGGGACCTCCGAGATTCTGTCAAACTACATCAAAAGCTACACACAAGAGGTTCCCGGGATTCTTCCAAATTACTTCAAAAGCAAGACGAGGGATCTCCGAGTTTCTGTCGAAGTACATCAAAAACAAGTCAAGGGACCTCCGAAAATCTTTTAAAATACTTTAAAAAGAAGACGAGGAATTCCCGAGATTCTGTCATACTACTTCAAAAAACTAAAGACACGAGGTCCCCGACATTCTTTCAAATTACTTCAAAAGGAAGAGAAGGGATCCCGAGATTCTATCGACCTACTTCAAAAACAAAACACACGGCGTTCCCGAGATTCTTTCAACTATTTCAAAAACAAAACGCATGGGATCCCCGAGAATCTTTCCAATTACTTCAAAAAGAAGACAAGGGATCCCCAGATTCTGTAGACCTACTTCAAAAACAAAACACACGGGGTTCCCGAAATTCTTTCAAACTAATTCAAACAATCACGCATAAGGTCCCCGAGATTCTTACAAATTAGTTTATAAACAAGACAAGGGTCCTTCGAGATTCTTTCAAACTACTTCAAAAGCCACACACAAGAGGTCTCTGGGATTCTTTCAAATGATTTCAAAAACAAGATAAGGGATCCTCGAGATTCTGTCAAACTACTTAAAAAAAAAAAAGAAAAAACACGACGCGATTCTAACCGATTCTCCAAAAACAAAACACAGAAAGGTCCCTGAGAATCTTTCAAACTATTTCAAAAAACCAGACACGAGGTCCACGAAATTCCTCCAAATTACTCGAAAAACAAGACAAGGGACCTCCAAGATTCTCTCAAACTTCTTCAAAAGCCACACACAAGAGGTCCTCGAGATTCTTGCAAATTATTTCAAAAACAAGACAAAAGACCCCAGAGAATCTTTCAAATTACACCAAAAATAAGACAAGGGATCCCAAGATTGTGTCGAACTACTTCAAAAACAGAACACATGAGGTTCCCGAGATTCTTTCAAACTACTTCAAAAAACCACACACAAGAGGTCTCTGAGATTCTTTCGAATTACTTCAAAAACAAGACAAGGGACCCCAGAGAATCTTTCAAAATACTTCAAAAACAAAACAAGGGATCCCTGAGATTTTTTCAAGTTACTTCAAAAACACAAGGGATCGCCGAGGTTCTTTCAAACTACTTCAATTCAATTACAAAAACATGACCTAAAGAGAGTTTCCAAGATTTTAATAAAATGCTTTAAAAACAGTACACCGAAAAATTACCCAGATTCTTTCAAATTATTACTTCAAAGAATCGACATGGCGGACAATACAAGATTTGCCTTTGATTCTTTTAAATTACTTCAAAAACAAAACATCATACGGGAGCCCCAAGATTCTTTAAAACTACTTCAAAAAGAAAACACAAAGAATCCACGAGAAGCTTTCAAATTACTTCAAAAACCAGATTTAAGGGGTTTCCGAGATTCTGTTTTTTTCTTCAGAAACCAACGCCTACTTTATAAATATCTCCTACATGGAGAAAACATTATTCCACTTCATGATTACAATTTCGTTTTAAGACAATTGAAAAACGGCCACCACCGAGCGCCATCTGACATTGTAAATCATAAACAAATGTAAAGGTCGCTTTACATCATGGGATTTCGCTTAGGGTTAACTTAAGAAATTTCCTATGAAACGAATTAACGTGAAATGTAACTCTTTACATTATGTGATTAGTCCCAAGAAAATACAAAATACGACGGTAGTTATTTCTTGTGAAAATTCGCAGCACCTGTTATTTTGTGAGGTTAGAAATTTAAGAAATTCAATAATTTGTGTTTTGGTCATGATTTCATTCTTGTTACTAAGATATTATTCATTTCTGTTAATAATCTCGAAATTCTTTCAAATTACTTCAAAACCAATCTATAAAAAGATCTTTAAACTTGTAAATGAAGTAAAATTTCAGCCTCTCAGGCACCTGTTAAAATTTTTCCCGCCGCTACCTACAAGTTAAAGCAAGAAGGTTCAAAGTCAATTTGGTTAATAGTAGCTGATTTTCACAACATTAGCGGAGTCTAACTGAGTTTATACAGTGTGGTGTTAAAGTGTAAATTGTTCTTATATCTAGGACACTTACGTGGCACGCAACTTCCGAATTTCTCCGGAAACTCGGAAATAAGGTCGTCGTTAATGCGGTCCTTCAAAGGACCCAAAATAATAACTGGCCGCGTGTAGGAGATCGGTATTTGCTGTACGGGCTCGTAAGAGAGAACGTTTTCTTCATTGCCTGTAAAAGAAATCAAACTCTTAATCCTCGTCGCTCCTCAACTCCCCCCGGCTACAACAAATCGCAAAAATGTGGTATTATTAGAACGAAAATTCTTCCCGTTTTCTGGAAAAACTTCGCTACTCAGGCCAAGTTACTCTATTACGATAAAAAAATGAAAAAACCAAGAATTTCTAGCATTCCATAACAATAATAATCCACTGCAACAACACACATTCACATGGAGTTATCCTAGATAAAAAGCTGAAAACATGTTAAAACTTCTAAAGACATCACTAGATGATATAGATGACACTAGACAGATAGAAAAACGTCGTTTTAGTGTTCGAACACAAAAAATAAACGGCAAATTCGCAAATAAAAACGAACACACCTACTTACGTACAAACCAAAGTACGCTAAGTCTATGTTAATGCAGTTATGTTCTAGTTGTCATAGAGGCTAGCACATTCACCCTACATGATAGCGCAGGCTTCCTCGAATAATGTGACAGCGCCATCTATAAGCTATCTGCCCAGGCGACCAAGAGCAACGATCATACACGTAAGCGTCAAACCACCCTTACACGTTAATCATCACGAAAGATACAATCCCAAGTAACATATTCAAGGGTTTTCACAAAAGCGTGCGTTTTATATCCCCTGTGACGTCACTTCAGCCAAAATGAATATAACCAACATAACCTTTCATGTTGTGGGCAATATCATCCATATCCAGAAAGTTACAAAAGCGGATAGTTTTGACATACATCTATTTATTTTAGTATACTAAGTACTAAAAGCAAGCTTTAAAGCACTAATAACTTTCTCTCTATGTTTTGTTTGCTCGACGAAAAATTCTGGAAAATTTGCTACAACTTAAACTGTTACTTGGGACGTTACGTTACGTTACGTTACGATGTGCTACTTTGGCGCATCCCCGGCCTACTGCGAGCATTGGTCAGCGTTTATGTATAGTCGTCCCAGAATTACGTCGTTTTTGTGAGTCGCTTGAACGAACTTAATCGAGATAATTCTGGTGTATTCTATCTAGCGGGGTAGCAATACAGAGAGAGGACGAGCGGTTCCTAGTTCCTGTGAGAAATCTGGGATAGATAAAACCGCGGTGTCACATTATTGCATATTCGGCCTAGATGAGAAGGGGTGGCGTGGGGCGTGATTAATAATTAATCGCACAACAACACTCCTGGAAAGGGACTGGAAAGTCGATTCGGTGACACAAGAAAACTGACATTGGCAAAATTGATGAGTGTGTTATGATAAAAAGGCAGCAAAAATCAAAAACTCCACGTCGGAATTAGTGGATTAATCGATTCGTCAAAATTTTAAAGAATATCGGAACACGCTGGATCAGTGCAAGGGGCGCTGCTGATCGCCATGCAGTCACAACACTAACACTTACTATTATCGTCATTATTATCATTATTCTCCAGATAAATTAACGTGATTTCTTCCATGTAAGGTAGCTCAACCCGATATAATATTTCACCTGTACTATGAAACACAGAAAGAAGCCAAAAGAAAATTTATGTAGTAAATCAAAACAACAATGCAGTATTTTTGATAAGACTATTATGAATCATACTGTACCTTCGGCATTGGCGTCCTCTTGGGTGTAGCACAGCATGAACGCTGCAACACAAACAATACATTAGGCACAGACATCGAATGTTAACACAGAGCGAGGTCGACAGTGTGCGAAACGGACCTAATTTCTTGCATCAGGAGAAGAAAATCCTATTGTACGAGAATTTTTTCTACGACCACAGAACCAGCCCATTTTATACTTTAGGTTTTTTTATCGATTTAAACGGGTTAAATAAATATGCTACAAATATTGGCATGGGCGCCCATAGAAACCTTAATTTTTTTTATATACTCTCTACCTGTATACATATAGGGTGTTAATAAATGATTTACATCTATGAAGTTAATAATATTAAAGTGCCGCTTCATTTGATTTCCTGATACGGAAAATCATTTATCAACACGCTGTACATGCAAAATATAAATATATATTTTAATCAAATCTACTCACAAATAACCCTACAACGTAAACAAAACACGGTGTAAAGTATTATTAGAAATATACCTATTCCTACTACTATCATTCACAAAGTTATCAGTTATAAAATTAATTAAAAACAAACTGTAAGTTCCTTTTGAGGCGACAAATTCATTCAAATCAAAATAATTTCTATGTGACATTCTTCCGATGTATAAACATAAACAGTTTAAGTTATTATTAACGCTGAGAGGCCATTTTTCTCCATAAGTTATCTATTAAGCTGCATCCCTCGATGTGACAATAAATGAAAAATGATGACAATTGAAATAGAGGCATGTGGGTGGGGCTTAATTATTGGCTTTATTTTTCTTAATGTTTGTAGTTTTTTTTTAAACATGTTTTAAGTATCGTGTTATTGAAAGAAAACTGCACATTTTAAGCAAACAAAAATTAAAAATTAAGCCCCACCCACCCGCCCGATCGCAATTGTAATGAATTTTTTATTCATTATGAGATCGAGGGGCGGAGCTTAACTGCAAAGTCAATATTTTTGAGGCATAATCGTATTGTAGAAAATAAACTATTTGAGAAAAGTAGGAGATAAATATTGTTATTCTCTCAAAGGCTAAAAATAAATAAAAATTTTAGTATTCACAACTTGATTTTTTTAAATTTGTAGCGTAAATCGGTAGATCTGACAAGACTGGTGACGCAACTGGACATAATTCTAACCTCAAATTGACCATTTAATATTTTAAATGTTTTATTATTGAAAGAACACTGTCTATATTACAAAAGAAAGTTAAAGCATAATCTCCACCCACCCGCCTCATCTCAATTGTGATTAATTTTTTTATTCGTCGTAACATGGGGGGCGGAGCTTAAATGAAAAGTTCATAAGTGTGATTCATAATCTTTTAAAAATGACACATGTGGTCTTCGAGATTGATCAAAATAATTTAAAACCACACCTGCAACCCAGGAGATTCTTTAATAATTATTATTTAATTAAAGAATGAAACAAATGAATTTTGCAATATAGCTCCGCCCCTCAATCTGACAACAAATGAAAAATCATCACAATTGAAATAGGGGTGGGTGGGCGGGGCTTAATCATTGGCCCCTTTTTCTTAATGAATGTAGTTTTTTTTTTAACATGTTGTAAGTACCGTGTTAGTGAAATAAAACTGCACATATTAAGAAAACAAAAATTAAAAATTAAGCCCCACCCACCCACCCGATCTCAATTGTTACACTGGTCAACAGCTAAACTCTAACTTTTATTATAGCAGCCAATTATTATTTAATTAACAATTTTAAATGATATTATAAACGGCTAAACCCAAACTTAGCTCTCATTTAAAAGTAATCTTCAATATTATCCTTTGAAAAATACAAAAATCGTACTATTAAGTAATAGGAAACTTTCTATAAGGTGTATTTTTTTGTGATCAAATTGCTACAAACTTCTTGGGAAACAATAAGAAAACTACGTTTAGTAAGTAGAAAACATGTTATCATCATATAAAAAATTTAAAGTTAACATATTCTTAAAAGTGCATTTTATGTATTCGCATCTTGATTTTTTCCCCAAAAATTTTGACGACGTGAGTGACGGACATAGAGAACGCTTCCATCTGGGCATTTTGTGGATACAAAAACGTTACCAAGATCGATGGAACATCTAAATGCTCGCAGAATACTGCGGGACCATCAAGCGAGAGATCTCCAATGAAATCTATAGGAGGCAACCGAAAAAACGTCGGTCTTAGCTGTTTCTTTTGTTTTTTTCGTTTTTTAAACTACAATCGTTGTTTTTTTTCTTAATTATGGTTGTTCTTTTGTTAATACATCACTTTTTGCCGTTAAAGATACAAAAATTAAATTGTTTTACCTGCTTTTTGTTTTTAACATCAAATATGCATTTTTATTTTTAATTGAGCTAAGTTGTAAGGTTTATGCCCTTTGTTACAAACACAGACACAAATTAAACGAAAACATTACAATTATGTCAAAGTTAGAGAGAAAAAATTGAATTTTGTTGACCAGTGTTATGAATTTTTTATTCATAATGAGATCGAGGGGCGGAGCTTAACTGCAATGTCCAAATGGACTATTTTAAAAAAAGAGGGGATAAATATTCTTATTCACTTAAAATCAACAGGAAATCGAAAGAAGGAAAAAATTATACAAAAATAAAAATTTTAGTATTTACAACTTGACTTTTCTGTATATTTGTAGCGTAAATCGGTAAATCTGGCAACACTCGTGACGCAACTGGACATAATTCTAACCTCAAATTGACCATTTAAAATTTTAAATATTTTATTGTTCAAAGAATAGTCTATAAAACGAAAAGAAAGTCACAGGCTAAGCCCCACCCACCCGTCCGATCTCAATTGTGATTAATTTTTTTATTCATCGTGAGATGGAGGGTGGAGCTTAAATGAAAAATTCATAATCTTTTAAAATTGACACTTGTGACCCCCGAGATTCTTTAGTAATCTTTTTAAAGAATCAAATAAATGAATTTTGCAATTAAGCTCCGCCCCTCGAACTAACAACAATTGGAAAATTCGTCACAATTGAAAAGGGCGGGTGGGTGGGGCTTAATTAATCAGGGTTTCTTTTTGTTAATATGTATATACTTTTCTTTCAAGAACACGATACTTAAAAGCATGGGGGCGCCGAAATTGTGTCATAATAATTTAAAATAGACTTTGTGGCCCTCGAGATTGTGCCATAATCATTTTAAAATTGACACACATGGCCTTGAGTTTGTGTCAATAATTTAAAATAGACGCTTGTGACTCCCGAGATTATTTAATGATCTTTTTTAATGAATCAGACAAATATGAATTTTGCATTTAAGCTCCGCCCCTCGAATGGATAACAACTGGAAAATTCGTGACAATTGAGAAGGGCGGGTGGGTGGGGCTATATACATATTAATGAAAATTTCTTTTTCTTAATATGTATATAGTTTTTTTTTTTGGAACATGTTTTCAGTATCGTGTTGTTGAAAGACAACTGCACATATTAAGAAAACAAAAATTAAGCCCCACCCACCCACCCGTATCTCAATTGTAATGAATTTTTTATTCGTTATGAGATCGAGGGGCGGAGCTTAACTGCAAAGTCCATATGTTTGACGCATAATCGTATTGCAGAAACTAGACTATTTTGGAAAAAAAGGGGAAAAACATTTTTATTCTCTCTGGAGATCGAAAGAGGGCAAAAACTATACAAGAATGAAAATTTTAGTATTCACAACTGGACTTTTCTGTAAATTTGTAGCTTAAATCGGTAGAATTGGCAACACTGGTGAAGTAACTGGATATAATTCTAACCTCAAATTGACCATTTAATATATTTAATATTTTATTATTGAAAGAACACTGTCTATATTACGAAAAAAAAGTTAAAGGATAAGCCCCACCAACCCACCCGATCTCAATTGTAATGAATTTTTTTATTCGTCGTGAGATGAGGGGCGGAGCTTAAATGAAAAATTAAATATCATAATTTTTAAAATTGACACACACATGGCCCTCGAGATCATATAAAATTGACACCTGTGACCGAGATTCTTTAATAATTTTTTTAAAGAGTCAAACAAATGAATTTTGCAATTAAGCTCCGCCCCTCGATCTGACAACAAATAAAAAATTCGCCACAAATTACACGGGTGGGTGGGTGGGGCTTAATTAATCAAGGTTTCTTTGTCTTAATATGCATATACTTTTCTTTCAACAACACGATACTTAAAAGCATTGGGGCGCCGAAATTGTGTCATAATCATTTTAAAATTGACACACGTGGCCTTGAGTTTATGTCAGTCATTAAAAATAGACACTTGTGACTTACGAGATTTCTTCATAATCGTCTTAAAAAAGACACTCGGGACCTCCGAGATTATTTTTAATAATCTTTTTAATGAATCAGACAAATACGAATTTTTCAATTAAGCTCCGCCCCTCGAACTGACAACGATTGGAAAATTCATCACAATTGAGAAGGGCGGGTGGGTGGGGCTTAATTAATCAAGATTTCATTTTCTTAATATGTATATATTTTTTTTCAAACATGTTTTAAGTATAGTGTTGTTGAAAGAAAACTGCACATACTAAGAAAACAAAAATTAAAAATGAAGCCCCACCCACCCGCCCGATCTCAATTGTAATGAATTTTTTATTCGTTATAGGAACGGGGGGCGGAGCTTAACTGCAAAGTCGATATGTTTCAGGCATGATCGTATTGCAGAAAATAGAGTATTTTAGAAAAATAGGGAATAAAAATTCATATTATAAATTTGTAGGTTAAATCGGTAGATGTGGCAACACTGGTGATGCAACTGGATATAATTCTAACCTCAAATTGACCATTTTATATTTGAAATATTTTATTGTTGAAAGAACACTGTCTACATTAGATAAAGAAAGTTAAAAGATACTCGGGACCCCCAAGATTCTATGGTAATTTTTTTAAAGAATCAAACAAATATGAATTTTCCAATTAAGCTTCGCCCCTCGATCTGACAACAAATGAAAAATTCGTCACAATCGAAGGGCGGGTGGGTGGGGCTTAATTAATCAAAGTTTCTTTTTCTTAATATGTATGTATATAGTTTTATTTCAATAACACGACACTTAGAGCATTGGGGGCCCCGAAATTTAAATATACAGGATGAGTCATTAAGCGCGCCTTCCCCGATATCTCATTAATTATACGAAACAGAAAAAACAAAGTCAAATACTAAAATTGTACGCTTCTTTGCGAACTATATTCTAAAATTATTTTTAACTATACAGAGTGGTCTGTTTTTAAGGCCTAGCACACAACTCATTTTTTTTTTATGAAACACCCTATATATCTTTTACCTTTATGTATGTATGTATGTATTTTGATTGTCCTCTTCTTAAGGTCCTACAGTCACAGTTTATGTTTGAAATGTGAATGCGACGTTGCCACGTTATTCCAATTTTCTTGAAATTTTTTAGCAATCGAAGGGTTCACAAAAAATCTTAGTAGGGTTATTTTTAAAGTATGTCTTTCAATATTTTGTGAAGAGATAAAGAAAGGTACGCGCTTTATTGTGGTACAAATGGGATTAAATTTTCAGATACAGTGTTTATAAAAAAATATTCAAATATCGATACCGAGTGTTGAGAAATAATTGAGTCTGTTTGCAGGACTTTCAGAAAAAAATATAAAATTTTCTTATGTTTATGTTGGCATAACGGAAGTACTTCTGTGACAGATATGTCAATCGTCAATCTTGACAGCTGACAACGCGGTATTTCAGTTTTTTCAAATAGAACACCTATATTTTGTCTTGCATCATATTCTATTTTGTGTTCTCTTTCTTTTTTAAGAGACACATCCACATATTAGACGACAAAAAATAGAATAAGAATCGTTAATGTTTCTTGGGTAGCGTCTAGAGTTCTGTAAGCTGAAAACTGTGGTGAAAACCGCGTTTCGAAATTTCCACAAGTAACTGTGATATCAATTTTTAAATATACGTAATAAAAAATTTCATCAAAATACGAAAAAGAGTATAACCTATTAAAAAAAAAAATAATATTTTGTTATATAGCGCAAGCTATGGACAGGTAAGTAGCATTTAAAACGTAACTGTCAAATGAGTATATCATAGGTTTTATCATCAGTAGTGCCAACGTAATGTCACGAAACACCAACGTAATATCAGCTGCAAAGGGTAATTTCTGCCCGGCATTGCCGATTTAATAATGATGATTAGTAAAGAAATGACGTCATTAATGACGTTGATATTATAAGGAAATTGATCCAAAAATTGGGGCGCCCATGAATCTTAGTAACGAATAAGTTCGGGAACTTTTCAAGATGTCTTTTCGTCTTATTTACCACAGACAAGTGAAAAACAAGCATGATTGTGTTTAGTCAACGTTGCCACACAAGTAGTTTGAACCATCAGACCACACGTTATGAGTTAGTCACTGTCCCCACTTTCCATACTTAAAAGATATTAGTAGTTCATGAGTACTTACATGAGGGATTTCGTTCATTATCATTAGCAGAGTTAGGAGTGGCAGAAGGGGAGTCTACAGGTGAAAAAAAAAACATAAAAATAGTACAAAAATAAACAAATCCTTACGAAAAAAACTCAACGAAATTTTGACAAATGAAAGACATCGGGAAGGACTGTCACCGCCCTAACTCACAAAACAAACTTACGTTCTTGATCCGAGCCGTCTTCTGACTTGTCATCTTTACTTTTCATGAACGGGAACTTCCTACTAAACGAGAAGTTTTTCTTTTTCCTATCCAACGTCGATTGCTAAAATGAAAAATCGTAGAAACGTGAACGAATTGCGAAAGTTGGCACGAACCTTCTCCAATATATTCGGCATATGTCCCTGGAATTTAACGGACCTGTCCCTGGCCCGCTGCTTCCGCTCCCAGCGCCGCTTCGAGGGAACAATTCCCATACCCTGTTCGTCCCCTGTGTTAAGTACGCGTCGTGCTTGCCACCACTCGTCGTCGCTCGCGTTGGTAACATGCAGAATGTCCCCGTAATGGAAAGCCAGGCCTCGGCTCGGCAGCCCGTCATCCTTCATGGGATCGTAGTCGAATAGAGCCCTACAATGAAACCGCACGTTAAACTCTACCCGCAGACTGATTCTACTCTTGAATAGTTACCTTACGTAAAGAGAGCGTTTCTGTGATGTACGTAATAGAGTGCCCCCTGTGACGGGATGCGAGATTTGTTGCTTCAAGTCATGGATTTTCGCCTCAAATCTGTTGTACTCTTCGGGCCTATACTGCACTACTATGGTCACAGTTTGATTCGTGCCTTTGAGGGCCTGAGCGGCTTCCTCGTGCGTGGCATTCCGCAGGTTGACGCCGTTGACGCTGAGTATTTGGTCGCCTCGTCTCAGTTCACCACTCAAATCCGCTGGGCCTCCAGCCAAAATGAATGATATGAAGATTCCTTCTCCGTCTTCGCCGCCTACGATATTGAAACCCAAACCTGAATTTCCCTTTTGTAGTATCACAGTGCGCACCTCTCTGGAAAAAAAAGACGTGTGAGATAGGGGAAGATGTGGGTTCGTGGTTGTGTAAATAAGTTTCGGTCAGCGATCAAAGTGTTGGGGGTCATTGCAACAGCTGGGGAGTCTTGGGGACTCGACCACGGCGTCGCTCCCGCTTCGCGTTCATCATATAAGTAAATAGAGACACATTTGGGGTACTTAATAGGGGTTATGACTGTCGGTTTAAGGATCTTTCTAAATTATCTGATTGATATAGAATTTTGGCTGTACTTTGGGACTATCGTACGAGTAGTCGTCTGACGTATTATTATATTACACAGGCCTGCGAAATATAACTTTTAATTTCCCTTTTAAATAATATTGTTTTTTTTTTATATATTTATGTATGCCGAATTAAAATATAACTCTAGTTTTTTTGTAGCACATCGAGATTTATTTTTATGTAGGCCTAAATATTCATAGTTTTTCAAACAATTTTTATGAAAAAATAAAATATAAAGAATATAAAATTGAATGTTTATTTATTAAATGAACTAAATTAGTTATAAACAAGACTTAAAAAAACAAATAAATCAAAAAGCTTCTTTTTTTCTTTCTTCAAAGCTATGATTTAAGCGTTTTCTCTTGTATTCACGATAGGATATGTTATTGCTGTTACATTTTTCGCATTATATCTTTTTATTTTTGAACAGCAAAAGTAACAATCGTCTGTATGATTTTATGGCTCCAACCAAATCATTGGTGTCAGCAAACTTAAAGATTTTTTTTTCCTATTGACCATTTGCGAGGTGCATGAACAGTGAACACATTTTATGAGGCACCCATTTTTTCTCTTGGTTTTTTTATATTAACTTTAAAATAACTTTCGCATAGTTGTTAGATAAATTCAGAAATTATTTGTTGTTGTTTTCTGATTAAATAAGTTCTACAAATGTAACAGAAGTTATCTGAAGAATTAACCCATTTCCGAGAAGACATTCGTAATTTTTGTTTAAATTCAGGGTAGTAAGCGCATAGTCGACACAAATAACTCTTACTAAGCTGAACACAAAATGAAATATCAACAACATTATCCATACATATTATTACCACAAAATCTAGAAGTTAATTTTTATAGTACTAAGAACAAAACTGAAAAAAATATTTTTTCCAGAAACTGTACGTGATGGAAATTTTTGCAATTTTTTTTTATACATGAGTATCTAAGACCTACCGAAATTACTACTTCATTTTGTTGGGGGAAAACCATCGCAGGCCTGTGTTATCGATTTAAACGGGTTAAATATGCTATAAATGTTAGAATGGGCGTCTATAGAAACCTTAAATTTTTTTAATATACTTACTCTGTACCTGTATACATATAGGGTCTTAATGAATGATTTACGTTTAGTAATCTGTGAATTAGTTGTTAAACATCAACACTTTCAAGTTGTTATTATTGCTGAGAGGCCATTTTTTCCCGTAGGTTGTCTATTAACCTCCACCTCTCGATCTGACAACAAATGAAAAATCATTGGCTTCTTTTTCTTAATGTATACATGTTTTAAGTATCGTGTTGTTGAAAGAAAACTGCACACATTAAGAAAACAAAAATTAAAAATTAAGCCCCACCCACCCACCCGGATCTCAATTTTAATGAATTTTTTATTCGTTATGAGATAGGGGGGCTGAGATTAACTGCAAAGTCCGTATGTTTGAAGCATGATCGTATTGCAGAAAATAGACTATTTTCAAAAAATAGGGGATAAATATCCTTATTCTCTAAAAAGCAAGAGGAGATAAAAAAAAGGAAAAAAATATACAAAAATAAAAATTTTAGTATTCACAACACTGGTGACGCAACTGGACATAATTCTAACCTCAAATTGACCATTTAATTGTGTTTTTCTTTATTTGTCGTGAGATGGGGGGCGGAGCTTAAATAAAAGTTCATAAGTGTCATAATCTTTTAAAATTGACACACGTGGCCGTTGAGATTGTGTCACAATCATTAAAAATAAGATGCTTGTGACCCCCGAGATTCCTTCATAATCGTCTTAAAAAAAACACTCGAGACCTCCGATATTCTTTAATAATCTCAGACAAATGAATTTTGCGAGTAAGCTCCGCCCCTCGATCTGACAACAAATGAAAAATTCGTCGACGGGCGGGTGGGTGGGGCTTAATTAATCAAGGTTTCTTTTTCTTAATATGTATATAGTATTCCTTCAACAACGATACTTCAAGCATTGGGCCGCCCGAAATTGTGTCATAATCATTTAAAAGTGACACATGACCCTCACTATTGTGTCAAAATCATTTAAAATAGACACTTGTGACTACGGAGATTTTTTCATAATCGTCTTAAAAAAGACACTCGGGACCTCCGAGATTACTTAATAATCTTTATAATGAATCAAACAAATATGAATTTTGCAATTAAGATCCGCCCCTCGCACTGACAATTGGAAACTTCGTGACAATCGAGAAGGGTGGGTGGGTGGGCTTAATAATTAGCCTCTTTTTCTTAATTTATACAGGTTTTTTTGTGTTGTTGAAACAAACCGCACATATTAAGAAAACAAAAATTAAAAATTAAGCCCCACCCACCCGGATCTCAATTGTAATGAATTTTTTATTCGTTATGAGATCGAGGGGCGGAGCTTAAGTGCAAAGTCCATGTTTGAGGCATGATCATATTGCAGAAAATAGACTATTTTAGAAAAATAAGGCATACATATTCTTAATCTCTCAAAAGCAAAATGAAATCGAAAGAAGGAAAAAACTACTCGACAATAAAAATTTTAGAATTCACAACTCGACTTGTTCGTAAATTTGTAGCGTAAATTGGTGGATCTGGCAACACTCGTGACGCAACTGGACATAATTCTAACCTCAAATTGACCGTTTATTGTGTTTTTTTTATTTGTCGTGAGATGGGGGGCGGAGCTTAAATAAAAGTTCATAAGTGTCATTTTCTTTTAAAATTGACACATGTGGCCGTCAAGATTGTGTCACATTAAAATAAGACACTTGTGACCCCCGAGATTCCTTCACAATCGTCTTAAAAAAGACACTCGGGACCTCCGAGATTACTTAATAATCTTTTTAATGAATCAAACAAATATGAATTTTGAAATTAAGCTCCGCCCCTCGCACTGACAACAATTGGAAACTTCGTCACAATCGAGACGGGTGGGTGGGTGGGGCTTAATAATTAGCCTCTTTTTCTTAATGTATACAGTTTTTTTTGTGTTGTTGAAAGAAAACTGCACATATTAAGAAAACAAAAATTAAAAGTTAAACCCCACCCACCCACCCGGATCTCAATTGTAATGAATTTTTTATTCGTTATGAGATCGAGGGGCGGAGCTTAAGTGCAAAGTCCATGCTTGAGGCATGATCATATTGCAGAAAATAGACTATTTTAGAAAAACAAGGCATACATATTCTTATTCTCTCAAAAGCAAAATGAAATCAAAAGGAAAAAACTACTCGACAAAAAAAATTTAGTATTCACAACTCGACTTGTTCGTAAATTTGTAGCGTAAATCGCTAGATCTGGCAACACTCGTGACGCAACTGGACATAATTCTAACCCCAAATTGACCATTTAATTGTGTTTTTCTTTATTTGTCGTGAGATGGGGGGTGGAGCTTAAATAAAAATTCATAAGTGTCATAATCTTTTAAAATTGACACATGTGGCCGTCGAGATTGTGTACAATCATTTAAAATAAGACACTTGTGACCCCTGAGATTACTTCATAATCGTCTTAAAAAAGACACTCGGGGCCTCCGATATTCTCTAATAATCTCAGACAAATGAATTTTGCAAGTAAGCTCCGCCCCTCGATCTGACAACAAATGAAAAATTCTTCACAATCGAGACGGGCGGGTGGGTGGGGCCTAATTAATTAAGGTATCTTTTTCTTAATATGTTTATAGTATTCCTTCAACAACGATACTTCAAGCATTGGGGCGCCCGAAATTGTGTCATAATAATTTAAAATAGACATTCGTAGCCCCCAAGATTGTGTCATAATCATTTTGAAATTGACACACGTGGCTTTCAAATTGTGTCAATAATTTAAAATAGACACTTGCGGCCTCGGAAATTGTGTCAAAATTATTTAAAATAAGACACTTGTGACTACCGAGATTCCTTCATAATCGTCTTAAAAAAGACACTCGGAACCTCCGAGATTACTGAATAATCTTTTTAATGAATCAAACAAAGATGACTTTTGCAATTAAGCTCCACCCCTCGGACTGACAACAATTGGAAACTTCGTCACAATCGAGACGGGTGAGTGGGTGGGGCTTAATAATTAGCCTTTTTTCTTAATGTATACAGGTTTTTTTGTGTTGTTGAAAGAAAACTGCACATATTAAGAAAACAAAAATTAAAAATTAAGCCCCACCCACCCACCCGGATCTCAATTGTAATGAATTTTTTATTGGTTATGAGATCGAGGGGCGGAGCTTAAGTGCAAAGTCCATGTTTGAGGCATGATCATATTGCAGAAAATAGACTATTTTAGAAAAATAAGGCATACATATTCTTATTCTCTCAAAAGCATAAAGAAATCGAAAGAAGGAAAAAACTTTTCGACAATAAAAATTTTAGTATTCACAACTCGACTTGTTCGTAAATTTGTAGCGTAAATCGGTAGATCTGGCAACACTCGTGACGCAACTGGACATAATTCTAACCTCAAATTGACCGTTTGTGTTTTTTTTATTTGTCGTGAGATGGGGGGCGGAGCTTAAATAAAAGTTCATAAGTGTCATAATCTTTTAAAATTGACACATGTGGTCTTCAAATTGTGTCAATAATTTAAAATAGACACTTGCGGCCTCGGAAATTGTGTCATAATCATTTTAAAATTGACACACGTGGTCTTCAAATTGTGTCAATAATTTAAAATAGACACTTACGGCCTCGGAAATTGTGTCAATCATTTAAAATTGACACACATGACCCTCAATATTGTGTCAAAATCATTTAAAATAGACACTTGTGACTACCGAGATT